CGTTTTTGTTTGACATTTATCCGACTATAAGTTTTCCAAATATTCGCGACTATCGTCTCCATCAATTAGACGCATGCCTTTTCACACGTATCGAAGCGGTTTGATGATCAAAGGTCATTTCCATTGTTTACTTTATATATTTCACGGGCGACAATTGATGGTTACATCAATGTTTTCTTGTGATATTAATATTTGCCTCACCATTAAATTAAAGGAAAATAACCGGATATTTCAAAGCACAAATAAGTTGCTCAAGAAAACGAGAACCAACCTCCCCTTAACTCCCGGTCTTCATATGTTAGTGTCCCTAACATAATACCTACATGTATGACTATTAGAAAAGTTTTCTTATCCATCATCAGTTCTGTTCCTACGTACAAGATACTGGTTTAAAAACTGTCATTTGTAAATGTCAGTACTTCTCAGAAAACTCCACTAGGGCTTTAAATTTTCACTTGTATATTCATTTAGACAAGACATTTCCTTGAACACAAGCAATTTTTACCATTGAATGTAAGCTTCTTTTGAGATGTTTTAACCTACTTTGGATGTTTGACATGCACTTTTAGAAACTTGAACCTTGACCATGAACTGCAATACAAGGGCATCAGTGTTTCAAATGTCGTTGTCATTGTTTCGCTCTCATATCTTATTATTTCGCGCAGAACAGTAAATAAAGAAACAGTTCCGTGTCAGAAATACAGTTGTACATGTTATACATGGAATAATATACAAATGTATGCTCAGGTGATTAAAATTATAACAATACGTTATATGTGATCACTTCTGTATGCTATTGGTTAAAAATATGATGATAATGGATTATTTACATTTAAATTCTGTAATAATACCATCACATGGTATGAAAGGAATTTAATACGCCTTCAAATGAAATTCTCATTCAATATTTCTGACAATTCTCATAATATGACCAATCAAAAGTACTTTCTGGAATATAATACAGTACTTTTTTATAAGTAATAAAGTGTAAATTATAAAAATAGTGACAGTCACGTAATCAAGCGGGTCATGTCATATCGCAACAAAAGATACCTTTGTGTGCTATAGTAAATGTGAACGTTCATAGTATATATTTTGAAATAAAAAATACGAATCGTAGGTTTAAGGACATGCAATTTAAAGCACAGGCGCTTGGTTTCAGGATGGTGTATTTTTTGTATTATGCGTTTTTATAAGTGTGTTTGAATACCCTCATCAAAATTTAAATAAAAATTCGCTGAAATTAGCCCGTTTTAAAAATGTCATATGTAAATAAAAAGAGTAAAGGAGCGTCATTCTCCATCTTGAAAATCAGGGGGTACCTCGGTTCACACTTAAGTTTCATCTATATCTACATTTTTTCCTACCGGGGTCGGGTGAGATCTAGCTTCAAAAATGATGGAAACTAAACGCCTATGTTTTAAAGCTTCTGAAATTATTTGCGTTGTGAAGTTTGTTTTTCGTTGTCATGCAGCTTAGAGGAAGTCAAAAGAAATATCAATATGACATAATTTTTTTATAATAGCAGAGCATTTGAGATAGCGCAATGAACTGTGTGAAGTGATTTCAGTAAATTAGTATCAAATATTTATCAAGGAATTTATGTTAAAGCCTTCCCCTCGGGACCCATTAGGGATTTTACTATGTATGTAGGTCCAAGGCCTCTGCCTAGTCGGGCGTCCACATCAAAAGTACCCTGGCTACTTTTTTTGTTATTCTATACAAGCCCAAGAAAAGGCTCCGGACTGCATAATTCGGTGAATGATAAAATTCAGCTATGCAAGATAGAATTATTTTGCATTTTTTTTTACGTCACCTGAGTAAACTATTGCCATCTGTTTTCGTCCGCCGTCGTGCGTCGTTCGTCGTGTGTTAACATTTGAACATTTTCAGCTTCTTCTCTGCAACCACGCAACCACTGAACCAATTTCAACGAAATTTGGCACAAAGCATCTATGGGTGAAGGGGAACAAAAATTGTGGGGCCTGGGGGGTGGGGCCAAAACAACTAAAATTAATGCAATCTTTAAAAATCTTCTTCTTTACTCCTGGACATCAAGCAGTCAAACTGTTTGCATGATTGTAATCAGCATTGAGTCCTTTACCAAAATTGTGAAATTCATGGCCCTGGGGTCAGGGGCACTTGTGCTAGGGTGGGGCTAAATAAGTATATAGTGAAAATGCATTATTTCTTTGAAAATCTTCTTCTCTGCTCCTGGGTATTAAATAAACTAACAAAGGACATAGTTATGATGAGCAAGAGTGCTTCTACCAAAATTGTGAATTTTATGGCCCCAGGGTCAGGGGTTCTGGTGTTAGGTTGGGGCTCTATTGATTATATAGAGAAAATACATGAATTCTTTGAAAATCTTCTTCTTTGCTCCTGGGTATTAAATAAGCTAACTAAGTACATAGTTATGATGAGCAAGAGTGCCTCTACCAAAATTGTAAATTTTATGGCCCCAGGGTCAGGGGTTCTTGTGTTAGGGCGGGGATCTATTGATTATATATTAGAGAAAATACATGAATTCTTTGAAAATCTTCTTCTTTGCTCTTGGGTATTAAATATATTAACTAAGGACATAGTTATAATAAGCAAGAGTGCCTCTACCAAAATTGTGAATTTTAAGGCCCCAGGATCAGGGGTTCTGGTGTTAGAGTGGGGCTCTATTGATTATATAGTGAAAATACATGAATTCTTTGAAAATCTTCTTCTCTGCTCCTAGATGTTATATAAACTAATTAAGTACATAGTTATGATGAGCAAGAGTGCCTCTACCAAAATTGTGAATATTATGGCCCCAGGGTCAGGGGTTCTGGTGTTGGGGGGGGGGGGTATATTGATTATACATGTATAGTGAAAAAAACATTAAAACTTTCTTCTTTGCACCTAGCTTTTAAGCAGATGAACTACCTTTATAGTTATGAGCAAGGGCCCTATCTTCAATTATTGTAAATTTCAAGGCCCCACGGTCAGTTGTACCATAGAGGGGGTATTGGGGGGGGCTGTACTTATATAATGAAAATGAATGAATTGTTTGAAATGTACTCTTTGGTATTAATCAAATATTTTGAAAAGCATGAATGCCTTTCCAAAAGTTGTCGATGTGTGGATCTAGGCCTAAGAGTCAAGGGTTCATGTGTGGTAGCGGCACTACTCCTAATTGCTGAATATTACTGATTTGTTGAAATGCATTTTTTGTTCCCCTACCCTGCCTATGGGTATTAGGTAACCAAACTAAGGAACTGCTAAGTGTATAGTTATGATGACCAAATTGTAGATGCTATAGCATCTGGCTTAAAACATTGATCAAATTCAATCACTGGAAAGTTGTTGAATAATGCTCAGGTGACCTATAAGGCCCATGGGCCTCTTGTTTACATATTGGATGATGTGGCATTGGTTTTTAAAAGTTAAATTATTCATACAACTTTCAGTCTACTTTAAAATAACGATTTTTACTGCACTATATTTCTAAAGAGATTGTATAAGCCAGACATTGAATTCACAGTAAAAGCTTCCTTTAACATTAAATAATGTTCAAGGAACTCTTTTGCGCATCATTTGTATTAAATTATGCATGAGACGTCTTGTTCTCGAGTTTGTCACATTTAGTAACTTGAAGCACAACAAATCTTGGTAAATAAATTATTATATTACTCAGAATCTCTTTTGCAATTAATTTCACCATCGCAATACTTAAACCGTTTGTAATGTTTTATATTATTTGTCAGACAAATTAAGTTTTTTATAGCAAGGAAATTAGAGATTAAAAGCTCTATATTCAACATTGTCAAGAAAAAATGTCTTGAAATGTAGTGGGTCGCGATCGCAGGGTAAGATATTGATCCGTTCGTAGCTAATTTGAATACTATTGGATTGTTTGTAGTTTAAGGTCCTTCTCGAGGATTTTTCACTTATATGGAGACGCCACCACTTGCCGGTGGAAAGCTACTTCTGTCTTATACCCGGCAATCAGGGCCATAGAGCAGTGAAGAATCTTTTTTGAGCCAGCACCTACTGGGCTTTGGTTTATAGGTCTCATCCGAAGAACAGGTCTCCACGACCCACAGTGGGATTTAAACCCGAAAAGTCAACTTCTGACTTATCGAATCAAGAGCTGGCCCCAAAACCATAAACTGAGAATAGACTTAAGTCAAAATTTCAAATTGATATAACTTTGGGAATAATTTCGATAATGAAATAAAACTTTCAACAAATGTTTGAATTGAAGAATTTTACACAGTTTCAAACTTATAAGCTAATACATCGAATGGAACTGAAGATATTAAAATTTAAATTTTGACTTAAGTCTATTCTCAGTTTATGGTTTTGGGGCCAGATATTCTAACCACAGTGTCATGAGGGTGACCTGCTTTCACTTAAGAAATAAAAGTTTTTCGGGCGTTATAGAATTTGATCACGTGACCGACTTCATGTCATATCCAAATGAAACTCTAACATGATATTTTATTTCAATTTTATTTTTTACGTTTTTAGTCGCGTTACAAAGAAATACAGGCATCAATTAGCCTTTGCTTTGGATATGCAACATAACGTATCTATGACGTCATGTGGCGTCACAATCGGAACTTTCCAAATGGCTCGTGCAGTTTGCTTTTCATACTTAAAAAAAGTCTGATCATGTGACCATCTGCATGTCATTGAAAAGTGAATTGCAATTTTATTAGCATTGTTATGTAAGGAAAGACATCAGTAAATGTAAATATAAGAAATACAACACCAAATATGTCATCATTTTAAAATAAAAAGGATATGGCTATTGAAGAAAGAATTGACTCGCGACTCTATAGCAGACGCTCTAACCACTGCACCATGCGGGCGACCAATACTATTGGAAGAATAGACTGGTTCTCTCAATGAAACCGTTAAATCCTTTGTGGTGATGGTACAATAGACTCTATTCACGCACGCGCTAAAGTTCGTAGCGATAACGAGGCTGACCTGACAAAAAGCACATGTGCAAGCAGACGCTGAAAATGGACGGCCATGCGAAAACAGGCTCCGCGGCTTATTGTTGTGTGCCGCTTTGTAATGAAGACAGTCGTCGGGGTACAGCAACATCATTCCACTCTTTTCCAAAGGATCCGTCTGTACGGAAAGAGTGGATTATTAAAGTACGGCGAGACGAAGGCCCCGACTTCCATGTAAGTTTTTCACGTGCCTAACACAAAGTTGATCGATTTTGTGGATATAAAAAAATCCCTCACTGAAACATCTTAAAAAAGCTACAGATTTTTAATTTTGATTATATTTTCCTTTAATTTCATTGAGTTTTGACATACAGGACCCCTTTAATTAATCACAGTGAGGCGATAGATTCCACATCACCAGTGTTGTTTACGTCCATCATGCTAAAGGTGCGAGCGAGGTTTCGTATCATCTCGCACTTCATTACAGCTCTACACACTATTAAGTTAGATGATTACATTTCGATATAACAACTTTTAATAAAATTTCTAGTCATTTAAAATGTTTTTTGGATGATAAATATCTATATAAACGTGAAATTCCAAGCCCAATTCCAACCAACACGCAGCTTAATTAGTTCCCAACAGGAAAACAACTCTCTTCATAACATCTGCAGCCTGTATAGTATTAAATCATATACACTGTATCATGATACATGTTCAATATTTATACTGAATTGATCAGGCCTATAATTTAAAGGTCATATGGGCATCAACAAAACAAAATAAAATTCCAGCCATAAACTATTCTGACAATTGGTATTCCCTATTTAGAATATACACACAACACTTGTAATCAGGATGTCCAGTTCCTTTCTGTTTAACTATGAACTACTTGTCATCAAATTTTGTCGAAGAAAAATTCTTTTGTTTACAATATCCTGATTTATTTTATGCACCAACTTGAAATTTTTTTTTCTCAAGCAACCCCTTGCATAGCCCCCCTGTACGAAATGTTCCGCCCGCAATATAGGGGGAATTGAGGCGTACTTGGAGAAGGAATTCCGGGCGTCAGTTTGTCTCTCTACATATATGGTGATACACAGGTTTCGGGCGTAAACCAAGCGGAAACCAAGAGGAAAGTGGCAGGAATTTGAGGCGAAAAATGCAAATGACCTACGCCCGAAAAAATAAATGACGCCCGGAAAAAAAATACGCCTGGAAACTAAAATGACGCCTGGAATAGAATTACGCCTGGAATGTCCTTATTATTATATAATACTATGTGACCTAAAAACCTATATATTTACCATGTTAACAAAGAAAAACATTTAGATTATGATTTACAATGTTAAAGCTAAAAATTTAGCTTTTTGAACTGTAAGAAAACATAATGACAGGTCATTAATATAGTAAAGATATATAACTTATAAATTTTGTGTAAGGGACACTAAAACACCACCATGATTGAGTGTGTATTTAGAATTAAACTTTTTACAATACGGGTTCATTTTATCACTTCAATAATCATACTGAAACATTTTAAGTTACCCAATACAGTTCTTCATTTACTTTGTCAGTAGTTTACAGTTTGAGACACACTGCAGCCTATAGTTAGCTCTATCAGACTGTTATTTCTCAGAATGTGTGCAAGGAAACTCAAATATCTTAAGTAATTTTAGGGTCAACAAGTTATAACTCAATATCATTGTACATTATCATAATAAATTTTACTCAAATAGGTACCAGATATTAATTATCACACCTACCAGCAGATACTGTGTCATCCAAAAGAAGTTTTAAAGCCTTAACATTGATATATCTGCATTTCCTATTTCACTCACACTAAACTCCCTCCTTCGTATGATCAAATTCAAACTTAACCTCCTATCTGAAATGACCCTTACTTGATAATTAAATTGACCAATCAGAGGCTTTTACTTCTCCAGAAAGTTCCAGGCGTAATTTTTGTTTCTATTTTCCTGCCATTTTACGCCCGGAAAATCTGAACTTGCCAATTGACGTCCGGAAATTAGAAATGACCCCTGTAAGACGTCTCTTCTACTGAGGCGTAACTTTTCGAAAATTCCGTCTCCGCCTCAAGTACGCCCGGAATTTGCCAATTCCTGCTCAATTCCACCCGAATTCCAGGCGGAATCCGCCCTTAAAATTCATACAGGCTGAGGCTTCACAATAAGTGTGGTAGTACTCTTTTGCAGGGCAAAATGCTATATTTTGGTTAAATTTGATGTAAAAGTAATTGGCTTTTTTTTTACATTTAATTATCTATCTGTATATACAAAAATGCCATCAAACATTACACATAAATTTGCCCTGCAAAAGAGTAGAACCACAATTATGGTGAAAGGGCCAATTGACCTAATAAAGCCAAGGTAAGCAGTTAAAACCTTGTGCACCCGTTAATTAATTAATACCTTCCTAACATTATATAGATGTTTTAAAAGAAGCATAATAAATAGTGTACATACTTTTTAATACATGTATAACTTATGAATTGTAATTGAAACAATAACAATAACAATGCCAATTAGATTAAGATATTCTACAACTTGATTGATATTTTTCAGATATCAAAGTCCACATTTGTGTGTTCCAAGCATTTTAAGGATGATGATATTGTAAGAACATTGACAGGTACAAGGCTACAAGCAGCTTCAAAGTTTGAGTTCTTTTGCTGTTACTTTATAATATTGTTGAATATTAATTTATTATCAACTTAAAAGTTTTAATAATGCACATTAGTTAGCATTGATCACTTAGATTTATAATAAATTTATATCGATAAATGTTCAATTCTAAATATATAAACTTTCTGAAAAATCAAGGAGACATTTCTATTTAAAGTTCAAAAATAAAGTTGTAATTTGGAGTCAAGTACAACAAACATGTATTAAATATTTTAATTTGGAAATAGATAATTAAATATTTTAGAATGGTTAAAATTAACATGTCTACACACCTTGTAGGACTAAGAAAATTGAAGAAAGGCACAGTACCAAGTATATTTCCATGGACTAAGAGTGCACCAAGCCGTAAACCACCCAAGAAGAGGGAAGGACCTCCTCAGTAAGACTTAATAAGTCATGATACAATTTGCAGTATTAATTTTGCTTCTGATAAACAAGGAATGCTGCATTTGTATTATTTAAGCACTGAGTTGTAAATTTTGATGTCCATCATGTCACAACATGGACAGCTGTGCTCACAAACTGAGTTATGCATAAGCACATACGTATCATGTGTTTGTACAGCTGGTCATGTTACGGCATGATGGACATGAAAATGGACAGTTCGGTACTTATATTACCATTTAAATAATAAATACAGCTTGAATAATGCACACCATACCTGTGCAAGGCCATAGTAAATAAAAACCTAGATTCTCATCCTCCTCTCAAATTTTAAAACAAAATCTGTTTTCTTAGTCTAAATAATTCAGATCGGGATCGGTAATCAACTAGTATTCAACTTTCGTTCTCTATCCCCCATATTTCAGTGTGATTTTCACGGCTGTTAAGATCATTAAACAGGATCATCAGTAGTTGTGAAAGATTCCTGATGCGAGATGATGTGTAGTAAGAGATAAACATATTTAAATTGACCTCTATAACTATGTATGACTTTTAGATGTAAAACAAAGATATATATCTGACAACGAATATAACGCTTTAATCTGCACCATTTGATAAGGTCAAAAAATATCTGTATAATGGAAGAAACGAAAATTTGTTATGAAATCCACCACCTGCCTCAATTTAAAAAAAAAAAATTTGGATGAGAATCAAGTATTTTTAGCTCACCTGAGCCGAAGGCTCAAGTGAGCTTTTCTGATCACATTTTGTCCGTCGTCCGTCCGTCTGTCTGTCTGTCTGTCTGTCTGTCCGTCTGTCTGTCCGTCTGTAAACTTTTCACATTTTCGACTTCTTCTCAAGAACCACTGGGCCAATTTTGACCAAACTTGGTACAAAGCATCCTTGGGTGAAGGGGAATTTAAATTGTTAAAATGAAGGGACATATCCCCTCGCAAGGGGAGATAATCAAGAAAAGACAAAAATAGGGTGGGGTCATCAAAAAATCTTCTTCTCAAGAACCACTGGGCCAGTAAAGCTGAAACTTATGTGACAGCATCCTGGGGTAGTGTAGATTCTAAATTGTTCAAATCATGACCCCCGGGGGAAGGGCGGGGCCACAATGGGGAATCAAAGTTTTATATAGAATTATGTAGGAAAAATCTTTGAAAATCTTCTTCTCAAGAACCACTAGGCCAGAAAAGCTGAAACTTATGTGGAAGCATCCTGGTATAGTGTAGATTCTAAATTGTTCAAATTGTGACCCCCGGGGGAAAGGCGGGGCCACAATGGGGTATCAAAGTTTTACATAGAAATATATAGGAAAAATCTTTGAAAATCTTCTTCTCAAAAACCACTGGGCCAGAAAAGCTGAAACTTATGTGGAAGAATCCTGGTATAGTGTAGATACTAAATTGTTCAAATTGTGACCGCCGGGGGAAGGGCGGGGCCACAATGGGGTATCAAAGTTTTTCATAGAAATATATAGGAAAAATCTTTGAAAATCTTCTTCTCAAGAACCACTGGGCCAGAAAAGCTGAAACTTATATGGAAGCATCCTGGTATAGTGAAGATTCTAAATTGTTCAAATCGTGACCCCTGGGGGAAGGGCGGGGCCACAATGGGGTATCAAAGTTTTACATAGAAATATATAGGAAAAATCTTTGAAAATCTTCTTCTCAAGAACCACTGGGCCAGAAAGCTGAAACTTATGTGGAAGCATCCTGGTATAGTGTAGATTCTAAATTTTTCAAAAATTGTGACCCCCGAGGGAAGGGCGGGGCCACAATGGGGTATCAAAGTTTTATATAGAAATATAAAGGAAAAATCTTTGAAAATCTTCTTCTCAAGAACCACTGGGCCAGAAAAGCTGAAACTTATGTGGAAGCATCCTGGTATAGTGAAGATTCTAAATTGTTCAAATCGTGACCCCCGGGGGAAGGGCGGGGCCACAATAGGGTATCAAAGTTTTACATAGAAATATATAGGAAAATCTTTGAAAATCTACTTCTCAGGAAACACTGGGCCAGAAAAGCTGAAACTGATGTAGTAGCATCCTGGTATAGTGTAGATGCTAAATTGTTCAAATAATGACCCCCGGGGGAAGGGCGGGGCCACAATGGGGATTCAAAGTTTTATATAGAAATAAATAGGAAAAATCTTTGAAAATCTTCTTCTCAAGAACCACTGGGCCAGAAAAGCTGAAACTTACGTGGAAGCATCCTGGTATAGTGTAGATGCTAAATTGTTCAAATAATGACCCCCGGCGGAAGGGCGGGGCCATTATAGGGAATCAAAGTTTTACATAGAAATATATAGGAAAATCTTTGAAAATCTTCTTCTCAGGAACCACAGGGCCAAAAAAGCTGAAACATATGTGCCCATGGAAGGATCATGGGGTAGTGTAGATTTCAAAATGTCTAAATTATGATCAGTGGGGTAGGGTGGGGATGCATTATGTATAACAAGGGGGAAATGTTGTAAAGAACAGAATGGTCAAAGCTTCTCAGGTGAGCGATGTGGCCCATGGGCCTCTTGTTTATTTATTAAATCCTTATTATAGGTTATTGGCTGATTATTGTGCCATAAATAGCTCACCTGAGCAGACGGAAAGCTCAAGTGAAATTTTATGATCAAATTCACAGGCCTTTTGATTGCTTAAAACAATTGTGTGTGTAAAAAAAATAAAGATATTGAACTCTTATACTGGGTACCCTATTTCGCTAATAAAATATTTTTTATTCAAATGCTCTAAAATTCTACTTTCTATTCAAATCTATTCATAGATAAACATTCTTCATTTCTTTCAAAGCTCACTCCGAAATTCCATATACCGGGTACTTCTCAAGATATTCTGAAATCAATTTCAAAAATGACCTACTTTATTTTACTCGACATTAGCTTGGGCCCCTGGTCATTCACGTGTAAACAGATGATGTTTAAAGTCCAGGGAAGAGTTGCAAAGTATTTGTAAAATTTTTCAACAATTCAAAGTTGATTTCTTACTCCAGATTGTAAGGTTAAGTCAGTAGTAATTCCTTTCGCGAAAAATTAATTTGAAAACATTTGCATCAACAACTGCACCGCCATGTTGATTAAGAATGTAAATGAAGCAATGGTAGAACAAATATTTTCCGGAACGCATTGTATACCTCATCGTCTCAAGCCACGGTCCGGAGTCCGCATTAAATTAGCTCTCTCCTACCCATGGCTGCTTGATCACAAAAAGTGTCGTAATCTTGAATATTTATGCCTTTCTATTGTGACGTCATATTCAGTCAGTGGCAAGTTTTGGTTCCATCGCAATCGAAATCAACAGCTGGCGTCAACAGTATACAAGAAATATTTCCTATACTGCGATTGGATATTGAAAGGTCGCGATAAAGTTCATCATCCGACTATACTTTACTCGCATTGGTCAATATTTTAATGAGCTACGAAGAATTCTCTCCTCGTTCAACCACGGCCTGAATGGGAGAGGAGCATACATTTTGGCCGTGGTTTGCGACGATGTGTATACCTTTCAATTTTCAAAACATTTAGACCGCTAAAATGTTGTTTGTGACTTAGTAATATCAAATGATCAAATTAGAGAAAACCTTGTAAAGCTCGAATGCAAATGAACAAATATTTATTGAGTTTAGAATAAATTCCGGGAAACATTATGATTTGTCCCATCGTTCCCGCTTTACAATTAGTGTAGCTCTTCTGAGGCCCAAGCTGATGTCGAGTAAAAAAATGAAGGTCAATTTTGGAATTGATTTCAGAATATCTCGAGAAGTATAAGGAATTACGGGATGAACTTTGGTAGTAATGAAGATTGTTTATATTTGAATTGATATGGATAGAAAGTAACATTGTAAAGCATTTGATTTAAAAGAATTTTATAGGCGAAAGAAGGTACCCTACCAAAAGAGTTTCATACCTTTATTTTTTTTTTCAACACCTTAATTTTTTTTCTAAGCGATTTAAAGGCCTGTGATCAAATCTGTCTATTATCTGTCTTTGGTGTTTGTTGTCATTACAAATAATATTCACATTTTCTTTCACTGAGCTAGTTTCAACTAAACTTGGCACATGCATGTACAATCCTTGGGCGAGGGAAAACCAAGTTTCTTACTTCCAAGGGGAGATAATTAAGAAATAAATGAAAATTGTGGGATCCTTAAAAAATCTTCTCAAAAAAAACAGGAGCCACAAAAAATGAACCTTATTGATATAAAGCACTATAGATTCAAGTTTTACTTAATGGGAATGCATAGAAAAAAGAAATAAAATCTGTAAATTTAAAGATATATATGAAATTTACATTTATAAACATGTATTTTGCATGTAAAATGTGTGGAAATTTAAGGCATTTAAAACACCATTACAGGTTTAATTTATTTCAACACACCGTTGCAATTACGAGACTATATATCTTTCAAAAAATAATGATTCATTGCTTAAACATATCATCTCATATGTTAGTTCAAATCATCCCAAATGGAAAGGGGCACAATAAAATGGGCGAAGTCTTTGATTAAAATAAGTAAACTGTTTTATTTAGACACTTTTTCTCCAGATAAATCTGTATTGGTACCAAAGGATTATGGTATTATCTGGATGTGTAAATGTTAGTGAAAAGCATGTCATGAAAATTATTTCTACCGGGGGTACATGCAATATTGTGTCTGACTGCAAACTTTTTCTTTTATCATTTTTGTATGTAGTGAAGCTTGCATGCAACCACTGACTTGTAAAATGTATTGCATTTTGTGATCAAATAAATCATAAAGGTTTAGGAATGTGCAAGATTTTTAAGCAGAGCTGTGGAAATCTGCCGGTCATGCCGGCAAGACCGGTAAAAATGCTGTCGATGTCGGTCCAAATGACTGACCTCTGTCTTTGTTAAAGGTTTTTGTTTTTTTTCCATTTTAATTCAGGCCTATCATCGGCGCACTTCCCAGCTGAATTATTGTACCTTATATACGATTGCGCAATACTTTTACTTTGCACGAGATCGAGGCTATAGGAAATGAAAGCAAAACCAGCATTGTCTTGCGTGACCTTTTAAATTTACAAATAAGACATAATTAGGTAGAAAACATAAAAAAAGAAAAAGGCATGCTAAATACCTGGGTATGTAAAGAAAAAATTCAAACATAGTTAAGTAAAGCAGTAAACCTAGTACTTCCGTTGTTGACTGTCCCAGATTTTTTTTTTTTTTTCCATCGATTTCATTATGTGGTATCTTAATTATCGCTGTACAGAATTTCTTAGACTCATTTTCGAGGTAAATTATAATTCGAAAATGTTTTAAAAAATTACGTTTACTATGCAGAATTATCATTGACACCTGCCCAAAAGTTATGAAATCTAGTATTATAATAAATGCAAAAGAACGAAAACGGAGGAGGACTTGGAAATGGGGACTGAATGTTATTATTAAGTAAAGTGTAATTAAGAAAATAAATGGTATGCTTTTCTTTTAATTTTGCAACTTATTATTTCGGACCGGCAAAAATCACTGAGTTTTAAACCGGCATATTTTGTCTTCTTGCCGGTCCGAATGACTGGCTATCTGAAAAAGTTTTCCACAGCTCTGTTTAAGTCCCAATAACATATAGCTGAGTTTTCAAAATTCTACTGTATCAAAATAAAACATTGCTATGTATAATATTTTACATGTATTATGATACATATTGATCTTTTCAGAGAAGAAACATCAATTATTAAGAAGCAGAAAACATCATCCTCAATCTCGTTAGACACAGACCAACATTCATCATCAACTGCAACATGTGCCATTGACACTTCAACAGATATGCCATCTGAAGAGCATGACTATTGTCGCCAAGCACCATCTCTTGAAGAAGATCTTGAGGTAATACACGGATCATGTAGTAGTTCCTTTGATCTTGGGTGCATGTTAACTTCAGCTCACACCTGAGCTGAAAACTAAGGTGAGCTTTTCTGATCACCCGTTTCCGTCGTCCCTCTGTCTGTCTGTTAACTTTTCACATTTTCAACTTCTTCTCATGAACCACAGGGCCAATTTTAACAAAACTTGGTACAAAGCAACCTTGGGCAAAGGAAAATTAAATTTTTAATTTGAAGGGCCAAATCTCCTTCTGAGGGGAGATAATCAAGAAAAGACAAAAATAGGGCGGGGTCATTTATAAATCTTCCCAAGAACCATTGGGCCAGAAAAGCTGAAACTGATGTGAAAGCATCCTGGGGTAGTGTAGATTCTAAATTAATCAAATCATGACCCCCCAGGGTAGGGTGGGGCCACAATAGGGAATCCTAGTTTTACACTGAAATATGAAGGAAAATTTTTTTTAAAAATCTTCTCAAGAACCATTAGGTCAGAAAAGCTAAAACTTGTATGTGGAAGCATCCAGCTGGAGCAGTGTAGATTCTAAATTAACCCCCGGGGATAGGATGGGGCAATAATAGGGTATCCAAGTTTTAAACAATAGACAGTAGAAGGGGGAAATGTGTCAAAGAACACAATGGACCAAATTACTCAGGTGAGTGATGTGGCCCATGGGCCTTTTGTTTATGAAAACAACAATGGAAATCTTATCAGTTAACACTGTTTAAAAGCAAACCACATGTACAAATTTTTTAGCAGCATCTGTTCCATCAAAGAAACATCCAGTGATGTGCATTCAATAATATAATTAATGTTTCAACATGTAATTAATACTGTATTCAGTTGCTCATACAAATTTAAATAAAAGAAGAAAATGTCTCTGTGATATTGTGGTAATGTTGATATTAATTTGGAATAGATAAACCATGTGCATATATCACTGTGTAATACATGTACTATATTGCAGGCCATGAAGATACACATTTCTAAACTAGAAGAAAGGGTACAGCACCTTGAGAAGAAAGTAGAGAAGTTCGGAATTGAAAGATTTTCCAAAGATCCAAATTTGATAAATTTTTACACTGGTTTTTCTACTTATGATATTTTTTGTGCTGTATATAATGTTGTTGAGCCAACAGCCTCAAATATGATCAGGTGGTCACAAGTTCAGAGAAATAAGAACATTGTTTGTAATCCTTTTAGAGAAGAGTCTTTGTCAATTGTAGATCAATTTTTTATGTTTTTATGTAGAATTAGACAAGGTTTTTTTGAAGAAGATTTAGCACAACGTTTTTGTGTGTCTCAAAGCACTGTTAGTCGTATTATTATTACTTGGAGTAATTACTTGTATTGTATTTTGGGATGTTTACCCATATGGCCAGATTTAGATATTGTTAAACAGAATATGCCAGAATGTTTTAAGACTACTTATCCCAATACACGAGTTATTTTGGATTGTACAGAAATACGTGTGCAGACTCCAAGTGCCAAAGTACTTAACTCTCAGTCATATTCAAATTACAAGTCTCATACTACCTTTAAAGGCTTGATTGGTATAACCCCTCATGGTGCTGTATGTTTTGTTAGCAGATTATTTACTGGCAATATTTCTGATAAAGATGTAACACAAAGAAGTGGTATACTTGATCTATTAGAACAAGGTGATGATGTGATGGTTGACAGAGATTTTTTAATCCAAGATTTACTTGACAGTGTTGGTGCACACTTGATTATTCCACCTTTTTTAGGAAATAAAGTTAAATTTAGTAAGGATGAAGTAACTAAAACTCAGCAAATAGCAAGACTAAGAATTCATGTAGAAAGAGCTATCAGAAGGTGTAAAGAGTACCATATTTTTGATAATGTTCTGCCATTGTCTGTTGCTGGGACTGTAAACCAGATTTGGTCTGTGTGTTGTTTATTAACAAATTTTAAAGAAAAGTTATTTTGACAGTTATATTTTCAATTGTTTGATACTGTTTATGTGTGTGGCATGTAAATGAACATCATCTGCATATTTGATATACCAGACATGTACAAGTGAGAGGGTACACATACCTGTATATATTCAAAACAGAAATATGGCTTTAGTGCACAACACTTTTTTCCTTTGCATGCTTTGGGAAATTGATTTTTCTTTGTAAATTTTCATTGATATGTTTTCAAGTGATATAGATCTTTTTGGAAAAACATTAATACCATGAGATTTTATCAAGGATTGGGTAACTTTGAAAATCTAATACAGATATTTTAAAATTTGATTTAAGTACAAGAATTTTTAAATTATACTGTATATGCAATGCTATCATAATTACTTTTGGTAATCAACGCAATTGCAATTTTATTAAGATTTATGTTGCATGATTATTTTTTTTGTATGAACATAAATGACAACTTTTTTGAAAAGGACAAGGCTTTGAACAAATTTGGATTTGAACAAACTTGAATCTACACTATATAGGGAAGCTTTTGCCTCTTATGGCTATGAAAGTGGGGTTTTTTTCAGTAGAAAAAAAAATAATGATGCCAAATTTTCATTCTTTCCCAATCATCTCCCCATTACATACATGTATAGAGAGAATGGGGTACTTCATTTAAAATTTTAACAGATGACAGACCCTCTTTAATCAGAAAAAAGCTTATTTAAACTTTTGGATTAACAAAACAAAGAAACCAAACAAACAAAAATAATAGCATGCATGTACTCACATGTACAATTTTTTTCTTTTTATGATCCATCATAGATGTTATTTTCAGTATCGAACACATTTTGGTAAAAAGCAATTGAAGTAAAATATGTCAAGTTTCTGTTTTATTTCCTGCCACTTTCCTGGTAGAAAGTTAATTCTTTCCAGATGGTAGTCATCTTTACACCAAATGAACAAATCGCACCACAAAGCACCGGTCAAACCCATTTGACCCATTATCTGATAATAATATTCATGGGAGGATTTTAGTTTGTAGCTGTTATTCACAAGAGTTAAATATTTTAAATTTGTGATGGAATCTGAATTTGGACATTTAATTTCTAAGAGTCCATACATAGGAACAGAGTTGGGGTCTATGACTTTCCTGTCAGGAGAAGTTCCCAAATAAAAACATGAGGGATTGATGACTAAGCCTGCTTTAAACACATTATTTCCTGTTATAGTGGCGTATGCTTCTGCTGCCTCCTGTTCGTGTTCAAGTCCAAATTTCATTGCTGCTGTTTGAATTTTGTTACTTTTTAATAATGCGTCAGCCAAAGTTTCGAAATCTTTTTTCCGTGAACAAACTCTTTTAAATTTAGATGAAGTAATTCTGTGTTTTCTTGCTGAATTCCAGTAGGGATTTTTAGACTGTTCAATTGTATTTTGTTCAATGTCATCAGAATCAGTTTTTGACACGGCAAGTCCATCATAAAAATTTTGTTCACCCAGATTTAGAGCTGTATTAAAAGTTTGATCAAGAATAGGTAAATTATATCCAGGAAAAGTAGGAAACGCAGGATTGTTTATAATTGTATCGTTACTTTCGTCAATTTTCTTTTGCTGATAAGAAAGAAGGGAACCTTTGGGCACTGGTCCAACTTTTGATTCAATGGTCTCAATGGAATTAATTTTGGAGGAAGGTGGCAGTATGGTTTTAAATTGAGCATTTGTTGCCATTATATTTTGATTGAGAGATTCCAAAATGTTCTGATATGGTATAGGTTGCTGTATTGGACAATAAAATTTTGATTTCACACCATCTGTTCTTTTTATTTTTTTACAGGTAGTTTTCTGAATATGTACATCCTCAACTGCTTCAGGATGGATACCCTCTAACCGTTGGGGTATATGCCATGTTTGAGGCATTGATGTCTTAGATTTGACACATGGCACTGTCTTTAAATCAAGCTTTTGATAGTGGGCTAATGTGTACATAAGGCCTAAAATATGGCTGCAATTTCCAGAGCCTGCTTTACATGTGCAGTTTGAACTTTCAACATCAGTACAAGCTGCAGCTTTTAGGGCAATTTGTAAATTATGTGGGGGATCATTTTTCCTCATAGAAGGAAAGCACTTGGCTCTAATACAAGCACCAGTGCCCCCTGATGTACATGGTCTCACTGAAACAATAGAAGAAGCTTACTTAGCTTCCTTGTAAATGAAAATTGATAAGGAAACAGAAATAAAAACAACCAAGGACAAAATGAAACTGATTTCAAGAAATGAAAAGAAACTTGGACAAATGATATGAAATAAAAATGAATAAAAGAGATTGAAAACCAGGTTGGGATTTATTTGCTACATAAGCAGGAAAGCAAAAGATTCAAATGATCATTTTTTTAATTTATACATGTATTGAATGTAAATTTAAGCTATATAAAGACTTGAAATTGAAATTGCCAGATTTCTTGGTATATAACGTTACACCTCTACAGGACTTTGACATTTGTGAATATGGTAGTGTGGAACATGTTACATGTACAAATTGACTAGGTTTTTAAAGAGGAAAAAAATAGGGGAAAAAATAACCCTGATGCAGTGCATAAATTCTAAATTAATTGTTGTCTCTGGCCTCTTCAACATACATTTTCCAAAGGATTGCTTCTTTAAATCTGCATGTATATTCACTTTATATCCTAGTATGCACAATGAAAATATTGAAATCTATTGATCTAAATCATAATCAAAGCTTGTCTTTCATTCTTTGAAAGTATGTAGCACATGTATATACATGTGTGCATTATTCAATCTGATTGATAGTACACCTGTACATGTGCAGGCATTGAAAATGCAATTGCAACTACATGTCTAAATTTATACACAATAATATTTATTACATGTAATTTAAATGACGCATTCCAACCAATACTAAAACCAAGACATCACGTACCTCGCAAAAAGGTTGATAAATAAAAGGTTAAGAATCCTAAAATTTGAAATGTGTTTGTATATGTGTACATGTATTTGAATTTAGTTTATAGTACCCCCTGGTAAGCATTTACATGTAGTAACCATCAAATTAAAGTGCTGTATTAGTATATATGCATACCAAATGTTAAAACAGTGCTTTGTTTACATTTAAAATTCCATGTTCTATTAATGAAATGCCTTGCAAATTTCAAAAGGAAAAAATCTATCAAAATACAGGAATATCAAGACATATAAATAATAATTAAAAACCAAAAAAAAGGAAGAAAGAAAAGAAAACAAAGACATATATCAAATGAAAATAGTTTAAATTTATTTCTTAACAAAATAAAAAAGTAATGTGTTTATAAATGACACAAGGTAAATAATATCACAGCATCGATAACGTCTACGTTAAATGGATTCTTTGATAACTATATATATAAGCCACGCCCACTTTAGTGCACGTACATTTCACATAACGTGGACATAAATTTCTTAATTTATATTATTTTTTTCCTTAAAAATGATAACTAAATGTATGTATTCTCTACTTGTGGTGAATATTTATTGTCTTCCATTCAATGAATTTCAGTAATAATGACAGATATCAACGTAAAGGATTCTATGAATGTTGTCCGATGGTCCATCGTAAAATTGTAAACAAACCTTCAATATCATGAACATATCCTTCAGCAAAATTGCTGTATCCTCTTTTGAGAGATTTATTCGGGATTTTTGACGTGGTAGACCATGCCGATATTACATCGTCGGTTATCCTTGGTACGCTTGCGAGAGAGCGCGTCCAAGCTGGATGACCTTCGCCGCACTTCGCCATTTTCTCGTAGTGAAGGACGCTAGTTTGTCAGGTCAGCCTCGGTTTCGTATTTTAATGGCGGACGCATGAATAGAGTCTATTAATTGTATGTTGTTTTATGTCCCATTCGAGATTTTTCACTCATGTAGATTTGAGAATCTTTTAACAGGGGACAAACATAGTTCACTATTATAAATACATTTTAGGCATCTTAACTGTTCATTTTCGTCCAAATTCATCCATATTTCAAACGCTTTTTGTATTTGCCGTATTTTAGAAATGCTGCACGCGTGGCGCAGTAAAGAGTCGATCTTAAAGTCGCGGGTTCAAATCTCACTGTTGTACATGGCGACCGGTCCTTGGATGAAGCCTTATAAACCTTACTGCAGAACTGTTGCTCTCTGCTTGAGGAAATTTTGTCAGATAAATCAGAGAGCTGCAGATCCATGCGTTGTTAAAACCGATTTACGCCGCCGATCTTCTGTCGCTCACTTAGGGTATAATTTTTTTGCATTGGAATGAAATCTTTTAAACTGATATTCTGAAACCACATAGGGCTGTTTGGGACCGTTGACAGATAAGTAAAGTTTCAAGAAGAGAAGAAAGATGCATGCTTAATTATCGGATGTAATTCTTAAAGCTGTGGAAAGCTACAATTACAAGAAATAATACCTTTAGTGAGCAGCAAAAAATCGGCGGTGTAAATCAAAGGATTTTACAACGCATGAGACTGTAGCTCTTTGCTTTATCTGTCCGAATTTCCCCAAGCAGATAGCTACATTTCTGCAGCTAGTATAAACCGAGGTCCCGTGTCACAGTAGGTGCTTGCGCGAAAAAGATCCATCAATGCTCAATAGCCCGAAGTGCCGATTATAGGACTGAATTGTTGCTCTCCACCGGCAAGTGGTAGCTTGAGTGAAAAAAATCTCAAGATAGGGACAATATGAATGAAAAAATCTAGAGGTAGAGACGTTAAACAACATAGAAACGATAAATCTTGCTTTAGAAAGTTGATGATCAGATTAAATTTGACAGAAATTTTCCTTTACTAGATTGTGGGATCCCTGTCAATAACGAAAATACCACGTGGAATGTACAGGACTGGGACGGAATAGGAATAAGAAGACGCATGCACATTAAATGCATGGATTCCTTTGAACAGCGAGGATCCGGAATGATCGTGTGCCATAAAAATGGGACCTGGATAACAGACTTGGTTTGTCAAGGTTGAAGAAAAAAATCTAGATATTGTCTATTTTAATTATTTTTTTAATGATTTATTTATAAAATCCTAATCTAGCACAAAATGTATATGCTTATCTCTACAAGAAGAGGCCCATGGGCCACATCACTCACCCGAGCACATTGGCCAGGAGAAAATCAGTTGAGCATTCAAACGTTTGCACTCCAGGGGTGGGCTTGAATTTAAAAATTGAATTCTGAACTTCCTTTAGATACCTCTACATCAATATAACTAATGCATTTACTTTTCTTGAATAAAAAAATTATATATTCTTTTGCAAAAGTCACCATTGTCCCCCCTTCTTCCTTCCTCGGGAATGTAGAATCATAATTTTAACAAACCTGAGTCTACTACCGAACGTAAGAACTTAACATAGTTTTTCTGGTCCTATGTGGATAGCTGTTTTTTTCTACATATTCCTATGTTATTAAATTTCAACATCATTTTTTTCTGAAAAGAACCAAAAGAAAGCCTATCATACACAAGGAAAGCAGTAAAATCAATATCCTGTAAACACACAATATTAAGGGAGAAATAATACTCAGTTCTGAATGATTTCAGTCTGTAACGGTATATTAAAAGGATTTCTGATAAAAAGTACTATAATCGTAAATTGAGTTTAAAATGGCCAATCAAAAATGTAATTATCCCCATTTTAAAAGCAAAATGGTTCAACTAAATATTTTGAATCATTTCGGAAGCGACGAAAACGCGATAATTTTATTTATTAATTTATATCAATATCACTTGTCATGGCTTCCCTGTTAAAAAGAAGATTTCCCCTTTATATTATGTAAAACTCATGCTTATAATTCTTATTTTGGACGTAATAATGCACCCATAAAGACGGAGAAAAAAAGTCAATGCAGAATCTAGAAAACACAACTATTCTACAAGTAATTCTAGAGCAGTACAGCAAATCTTCGCCAGACTTTCTTAATTAAATGCAGCTTTATATATATTTAAAGTGAAAAGGAAAAAATTTAGGGCCCTCCTTTTTCATACTTGTATATATTTCTAGAATCAATACATATTTTTTTCCGTTTTAGTTCGTGCTGCAGCTGATTGTAAGGAACTCCGCAAAAATGGTCATGCTGATTCCGGTGTATATGAGATTAACCCATATGATACCGACTCCGATTCACTTCTAGTTTACTGTGACATGGAAATAATGGGAGGAGGATGGACGGTATATATGTTTAAGAAATAAAGTCTGGGTTTGCGTGAATGTTGCAGGATATTAATAAACCCCTCCGTCTCGAAATGTTATCAAAAAATATAAGCATAAGGCCTTGGCTGTTATCTTTCAAACAACATTTCGAGACCGAGGAGGTTACTCTGCATCCTGCAGGACAACAATGACTTTATTATCTATTCTACTAAGAGCCAGAAAATACGGCTAATCGTTTCCTCTTCCACCATGTCTCGAATTCGCAGTTCCATTTGAAACCAGAGGGGAAATCTGTTTTATTACCTGTGTGTGAATGCAGACGATTTGAGCTTTTGTTGCATTAATATAGCCTTTATCAATAACAAAATTGTTCGTAACATATATATTGATTAATTTTATTAAATATACAATAATAAAATCACGTTTCTATTTTACTGCGTTAATTAGGACTACAATTGCGTATGGAGGTCCGTGGAACAGCCCCGCTTAGCTATAAAAATCGACAGCTATCAGCACCCTTTTGCAATTTACAGTGTTTAGAATGCAAAAGACGATACATCCATGTTGTCTAACAAGTATTTTAATCTAAAGTCGAATATGCATTTGAAATGTAATTTTGATACGTGTTTCTGAGCTGATAATTAGTTCATGACGTTCGTGATTTATTGGTTAATAATGTCCGCGGCATTTCTTTGATCTCGGCAATAATCGTTATAGAATTATTAATTAAATGTTAAACACGATTCGTAAAAAGAATGTGTCCGCCATTTTTGTTCAGAGAATCACTATACCTGCAGACCCCTATGTAAAGAACAGGACTTTGAGACTGTTCATTGTAATCAGTCGACACCGGTATAGACAGACGTATGCTATAATGCACTTGGTAGCGACAATTATAACGTAATACTCCGTCTAAAGCAGGAAAGTAAGATGCCACAGAAACTTACAATTATAGTTTCAAGGTCAGTGTAGTATACAAACACAGATACACGTAACTGCAATAAAATTTAAGCAAATGTAATGAAAGATGACAAGCAAGAACACGGGTCGCCATTCCACGCCGATACTTGTGACAATAAAGCAGATGTGACGAATCTGCAGAGTAAACCGTGGTGTTGATGTATCGTAGATACATGTAATGATATTGAACATGACGTATTCCTATTCATGAGTCGTGTCCAGCTATACGTCTTAACATTGGTAAAAGAAATGTTCATTGGCATCTGTTATTCTGTCGTACAAGGGATTGATAGGGGATAAGACACTCACAATCTGAATCTATATTACACCTATCAAAAAATATTCGTCACAATAATAACGGAATGAAAAACCGGATTTTTCTTTTCTTTTGGAAGGTGATACAAAAACGAGTGGATGGATCCCAGAGCTTTGAAGTAAACTGGGCGGCGTATAAGAATGGTTTCGGAACACCGGAACAGAATGTTTGGATCGGTAAATATAATTCCTATTAAAATTGGCCCCTTATTCCAATTCCATATTTGACAAATGGTCTACTTAGAAACATACTAATTTAACAAATGGTCTACTTAGAAACATATCAATTTAACAAAGGATATTACAATTATAATGTAAGATCTGATTTTAATACATGTGTGTACATGTATATGTCAATTCTTATTGATAGTTCCGAAACACTTAGTTAAATGAAAGGCATAATAACGCTTGTTTCTTGTATCCTCCTCCATGATTACAACAATAAACTGAAAGGTCCATGAAAACAAAATTATTTTAAATAGTGTCGAGGTCAAGAAAGAAAATATATGTTCTGTTGAATATGATGAACTCTTCCTATGAATGGTCGCAAATTAGTTGAAATAGATAACGATTATTATCTGATTTTGGAAGAATATTACATTACAAACAATGTGCGTTACAAAACACCTTTTAATATTTATACAGGAAATGACGTAATTCATCTGTTAACAAAGGGAAACAACTCGTCCCTTTATGTCTCCATTACTATCCAGAATGGTGCAAGTCTGTACGAGTTGTACGAAAAGTTCGCCATTTCTGACGAAACAGAGAAGTATAAACTATTTCTGGCGGGAACTGCCGAGGGGACATTAGGTAGGTGACAGGTAGAATGTTACACCTAGTGAGACTTATTGGCAAATCTGTCACATCAATGTATAAAAGAAATTTTACGAAGGGCAATAAACGAGAGAGGGGAAGGAGGTGTAACGAATTTACCTTAAAAAAACTTTTAAGTTTTACCTGTTATAGAAATTGGATTTAAACTTCACATATTTGAAATTTTACATACATGTCTATGCACAAATTGTTAAATTTTCATATAGAAGTGTGTTGATAACAGTATTTAAAAAGTCAAAATCTAACCACGTCATAAGTCCCCTACCAGTGAAATTGGAGGGGACCATCGGGTTCCTCTGAGCAAGTTTAAGGACTAAAGGATGACCAAATCAAGATAAAGATATTACCTAATTGATGTATATTTTATAATCTCCTACTTGTACATGTATGTAAATGATGCTAAATATACATTTGTAAAATATCAAGAAGAAGGAGGGCGTATAAGGCGTGTACAATCCCCCGCTATGAGACAAAATGTTTATCAATTTTCAAAATTCACCAAAAATTTATATTTTCTTAAAATCATGTTCTCGGTAATGTCATCTTCAAAAGAAATTATTATTTTATTTTACTGAACGACTTATCATCTGATAATCTTTATTTCAAAGTTGACAGTTTAAACATATCTAGTGGAAAATGGGTTTAAGAGAGCTATAAACAACGGATTTTGAACATGAATGGGTCAAGTCTCCATTCTTCATGAACGCTTAAATGATGGAAACGTAAATGTGAAATCTATTTCATTTGTCCAAAAAATGGAATCTGAACCCATTCTATATGAAAATCGAACTTTTCTGAAAACATTTACGCTTCAACAAACCCGTTCATTTAAATCACACTGAAAGACGTCAATAATGCAAATACATGTACTTCGTAGCGTAGTGCTTAAAGCGGTTGGTCTTGAACAAAATCTGCGCTATGGAGAGAGTTCGAATCATGCATGAAGCGTTTTCTTTTTTGTTTTCAAATGTCTTATAAACATGAGTAAAAAATAAATTATTAATAAATTATTAAAACAATGAAATACAAAATTTGATATGTAAAAGATGATATTAAACATAAAATTTTGAAAAAATACTACATTTAGAATTGAGAGAAGTCTTTTTTTCAGAGCGGGGCATTGTCCTCGCCTTGTACGCCTCCATTCTTTATAAACTTTCTATGATGTTCAAAAAGTTACCTTTCTACAACTATCCTTATAACCTTTTCAAATGTTAACTTTCACGGATGGGTTGTCGAATCTTGATTTCTTTCAGTTCGCTGTGCAACGACTTTTGTTGCTTTAGAATTCACTATTGTATAAAAAAGAAACGTATACTTGTATCTTTACAGTATTGCTTCCACTCACTTGCCAAGGATTTATACTGATGGAATAATTGTTTAATTTTAAAAAGAATAGATTTATCGAAAACATGCAGCTGACGTGTGTTTTTATTTTTTTTTTTTTCATTCAACAGGTGACAGAGTTCGTCCCACTAAGTGTCCAAGGATTTGTTCGGGTGGAATAATTGAATTATTTCAAATAGAAAAGTTTTATCCAAAAGATGAAGTTGTGTAATGTCATTGTTTTTTTCTTTAAATTCAACAGGTGACAATATGTTGAACACTGGGCTTGGATCACATGACCTGTCTGGGATGTATTTCTCTACTCCCGACAGAGACAACGACAGGGGCTATGATGGAAGCTGTGCTGCTAACTATAACGGAGGGTGGTGGTTCAACGACTGTTCTCGCGCTTTCCTGAACGGTCCGTGGCATGGTACACAGCTGGTGTGGTTTCCTACAGTTAAATCCGGGTCCTCTGTCAAGGAGACTCTGATGATGATCAGGCATCACTAGGTAATAGCATTCAGTGTTAAAAAAAATAATAAAAGAAGTTGTTTTATAATTTCATTTCACCGTGACAGATTACGTGATTCGCAAGTGCTAAGTCATGAAATAAAATGTCTCCTGGCCTGCTGCAGTGCCTTCAAAATAAACAAGTAGATGTCTTTCATATATACGTGTATTTGGTTTACAGTGGTTTTATATACACTCTCTGAGGTAAGAAATTATATATGTCTAGAGGAGCTATATTTTCAATTTTCTTACATTCACAGATGATGATTATAAAAGGAGCTTCACAAAGGCTCTAGGAACTATTCCCATGAAAGAGACTTTTTTATGTATATCTTTTACATCTGTACAGAGAAACGTTTGTCCTCTAATTTATTGTAAACCAACTTTTATTCGCAGCGACCTCATTTCGCGATTTACCAAGGGTAAACTAGTTCGCGACAATTAAATTTCACCATCAAGCCTTTTTGGATCTGTTGTTAATAGACACAATCACTTTAATGACCATTTCGCGGCGAGAAATATTCGCGAAGAAGAGGCTCTTGCGAAATTTTCTCGCACGCGAATAAAAAATGGTTTTCAGTAATCCTTTTTTTCGGGTATAAAAATAACATTCTATACTTGTATGTTGTACAATTAAATTGAATTCAAACATATTTTGTTTTTATTTTTAAAAATATTTTTTTCTTATTTGAAAAAAATATACAACTATGGACTTCGTGCAGTACTGATGAAAGAAAGTATACTATATCATGAAGCATTTTCTAAAAATTCTCTGAAAATAAAAATATAGAAACTATGATATAACATGAGTACGAACATTACCAACTATCTGTAACCCCACTTGAAAAATGGGAGGGTATGAGGTAATCGGGATTTCCGTCTGTCCATCCGACTGTTACGCTTTATCTCTTATCAAAAAATTTCTCGGACGGAGTGGGACATGTCACCTCTTTTGCACGATCCTTTACAAAAAGCCTCACATATTTGTACATGCACTGTAGTCTCTCCGCCTGATAAGAAAGATATTCTTTTGTAACTGTTGTAGTTTTAAGTAATTATACCCCCGCTTGAAAAGTGTGAGGGTATATAGTAATCGGGATTTCCGTCCGTCCGTCCGTCTGTACGTCCGTCCGTCCGTCTGTTACGATTTGGGGTACCTATCTCTTATCCGCAACTCCTCTTATACCATTGAGTGAAATTTAATGAGACTTTCACAGAATGTTTCTTATATAGTGCCATTGTGCACCTCCTATTTCACTTTTTTATCGGACACATATTTCGGGTTCACCAGGGGGTATAAAAAGACATTGCCACTTCTATCGGTCCAGAATTATTCGAATCGTCCGTTTTGGTTCCTTATTTACAATTTCAAAATGGTGTTGGTAAAACGAGAGGGCAAACACGGGCCGGGGCAAATTAAATGCCGGAGCAGTTTGAGATTTTTCAAATATCTTCGCCAAAACTCCACCATTTTATCTGAAATTATCAGATTATGTTTCTTCAGGGTTCTTTTGGGTTTCCTGTCCCAGTTTTTTTTATTTGCCCCGGCCTGAGTTTGCCCTCTTATTTGGTCCCATTTTACCAACACTCTTCAAAACTTCGAAGATGGCTTCCGTGTCACGATTTGTGGAAGGTGAGGCCGGAATTAAAAATATCTTTGTTTCCCCTAACCCGACCCTAAATTCTCAAGTTGGGTCGGTAGGTAGGTAAACAATTTTATTTTCTGACAGTAGCTTTGAAAATACATTCTAAAATTTAATGGAAAATTATATTTATAAATAAAAGTACGAAAGAAAGCGATTTTGAACAAAATGCTAAGTATCATACATATGCCATTTAAAAGCAAAATTTACGATTAACTAATTCACAATTGTAATTTAGATGAACTTATGAAATATCTCACGCCAGAGTACATTTATATATATCGAATAAAAAAGTCTGTGTACTTTTTTGAGGGCCATGAGATATGCCGTGGTTGTAGAGCATTTTGCTTTGGAGTTAAGACGTAAGTTGCTAATTTTAAGTCGCAGGTTCAAATACCAATGAGGAACATTGAAAACGGTCCTTCAGAAGGGACCATAAAAACTTATTCCAGTGTCGCAGATGCGGTGTTGTATGCTGGTTCAAAAAGATCCCCACTGCTTAATGACAAAAAAGGTGCGTAGTACGTCTAAATTTGGAGCAATGGGGAAATGTTCAAATGTCGCCCCAACAAATCTCGAAGGGATCAAAAGCAAAGAAACAACCAATCTTCAAGGCCCTAATTAAAGAAAAAATACACTGGACGTCTCGGGAAGCTAACTTATTATTTTAAAACTATTTGGAAATAGTATAAACAATATTTAAATGAACCAAACCGAATCTACAAATGATTAAAATGCTAGGGTTATAAAACAATGTCATAGTCATGAAATTTAACCCGTAAATAAAAGCATGAAAAAGTACAACTAAATAAATAATAAGTAAAACTAAAGATGAATATGCAGACA